GCCAGGAGGTGGCTCTATGTCTGTAACCCTCCTTAGGAGGCTGAGATCTGAGGATCACGGCTCAAAAACAAAGCATCCCAGGCAGAAAAGTCCACAAGACTCTCACGGTGGACTGGACTAGGGCTCCACCTGCCGGCTCTGTGCTGAGGGAGAAGAGTGTCTGGTGTCTCTCCAGTCTTCTCCCGAATCTTCACTCCTTGCCAGTTCTTTTTCTTTCTTTTTTTTTTTTTGTCGGTCGTGGGGCCTGAACTCTGGGCCCGGGCGCCGTCCCTCAGCTCTTCAGCTCAAGGCGAGCGCTTTACCACTTGAGCCACAGCGCCACTTCTGGCCTTTTCTGCTTATGTGGTGCTGAGGAATCGAACCCAGGGCCTCATGCATGCAAGGCAAGCACTCTACCACTGAGCCACCTTCCCAGCCCCATGAAATAAAATTTTAAAGAACATGTACACTGGTAAATAAAATAATTCTATTACTTTTCCTATTTTATCAGGGAACAGATGAGCATTTAGAAGGGTGCTAGAATTCTGGAGTGCAGGATTGTTTGGTTTGTCTTTTCCTTACATGTTTGGCAGTTCTTGTCTCTGCTGGGGTGGTCATGCGCTGCTGCTGAGTGAACAGACCTCAGATGAATGAGCAATATCCATTTGTCTCTAGTTTGAGTTGTTACGTTTCTAGAGCTGTTTGTCTGTAAGAAGCAGGTGTTGGGAGTGCCTCCAGCAGAGACTTTGAGAAACACTTCTGAAGCCCAGAAGAAGCAGCCTACCCTGGGCCAACCAGCTCTGCCCTTTACCTGGCTGCTGTGTGATCCTGGGAAGGGTCCTCAGATTCTCTGGGCCTCAACTTTTGTTAAACTGAAGACGATAAGCAATGCTTCTTGTATAAAGTTGCTCTAAAAATGAGTAAGTTGGCCAGGTGCTTGTGACTCACTCCTGTAATCCTGGCAGCTTAGGAGGCTGAGATCTCAGGATGGAGGTTCACACCAGCTTGAGAAAAGTCTGTGAGACTCTTATCTCCAGTTAGCTACTAGAAAACTAGAAGTGGCGTTGTGGCTCAAAATGGTAGAATGTAAGCCTTGAGTAAAAAGCTCAGGGACAGTTCCCAAGCCTTGAATCCAAGCCCCACGACAGAACAAGAAAAAAAGGAGGGGGGTGGGTTGGAAGGAATAAAGCATATAATTAGTGGTTGTCACTTGCACACAAGCTTACGTGTGCACCAGCTTTATCACAACACTGTTCACAGTTCCATCTACAGCTATCCCTGTGCACATTGTCATGGTCACAGTCTCACCATTACAGCCATCCCCATGCACACCAGCACAGTCACTCTGATCATGACACCCCACCCCGTGCACACCAACCAGCACAGATCACAGTCTGATCATGACACCCCACCCCGTGCACACCAACCAGCACAGATCACAGACTGATGATTACAGCCATCCCTGTGCACACCAGCACAGATCACAGTCTCACTGTTACACATTACCTATGCACAGGGATTGCAGTCTGTGATCCAGCATATACCTCAAAACTGTAGAGCACCATAGGTTTTATAAACTGTTTTGTCTTGTTCTTATAGTCTTGTGATAAGAGTTAGCTTAACATTTAAGCACTGGTGGCTCACACCTGCAATCCTAGCTACTCAGGAGGCTAAGATCCGAAGATCATGGTTCAAAGCCAGCTCATGCAGGAAAGTCTGTGAGACTCTCACCTCCAGTTAACCACCAGAATTCCAGAAGTGGTGCTGTGGCTCAAGTGGTAGAGCTGAGGGACAGCGCCCAGGCCCTGCATGGATGCCTCGTACTGGCACCAACAAAGAAGAGTGGCGTGCTGGGAGCGATTGAACAGGATGCATTGCGTGCACACAGGGACGTGTGACACCAAATGCCTGCCGTCGTAAAACTATCTGAAGACAATAGCTTAGACGGTTTAAAGGGCGAGGTGCGTAATGTTACAGTCTTCATATTGACATGCTTTCTTAAACTCATTTCAGAGTTTCTGGAAGGAGGAGTCGGCCATGTGGAGATGTTGTTTCGCTGCAACTATTTAGCTTTAGTTGGTGGTGGGAAAAAGCCGAAATACCCTCCCAACAAAGGTAAGGTAGTGCTGCCCTTCCAGCCTGGCCACACGGAGGCAAGTTCTGAGCTTACCGGCACATTCTCTGCAGTGGCCCCAGGCCACGTGGGAGCCTCTGGTCGCCTTGGGGCAGAGGGTGAGGGGAAAGGAGCGTCTGACTGAATGGATGTGGAGCGTCTGACATCTTCTCTTGGTAACGGAGGGCTTGCTGAACTGCGGTTGGCTGTCATAGATGTCACAGACTAAAGCTTCATGGGAAGACACGGCAGCGTGCAGGCTCTGGGTGTGAGCACTGTGTGTGTGTATGCGTGCGTGCATGCATGAGCGTTGTAGCTGAGATGGTGGAGAGCTGCCAGGCGGCTCCCTTGCCTGCAAAGTATCTTAAGCTAGCACTTACCTGAACGAGGAAGAGACCGAGTGAGGTAGAGCACACAGAAAATGTCACCCCTACTTGGGAAGGAGGGGAGTAGTGGGGTAGGCTGGAGGCAGGTCTCAAGTTCTAGGGGAGAGAGGCGTTGTGTGTGCACTAGGGAAGCGTCCGTATAAAAGCAGTGCATATGCAGAAGCAACACATGGGGGTGAGGAGCTGGGGCATCTGTGTGGCAGTGCCGCTGGCGCCCTGAGGACTGGCTGGGCAGCCAGCGTTGGCAGGTTCCAGGGTGGGTTGGTAGGGGGAGAGGAGCGGAAGGGAAGGAAGGGAGTAGAAAGGGAAGTATGAACAGATTTCACTGTTAAATGTATTTCCGTGTGTCTCCTGGGTCATACACCCGGGCCCCGGGCTGAATTCTCAGTGGCGTTTGTGGGCTGGCCCGACAGGCACCTCTGTTTTTGTTGTCGTGTCCACCAGGAGCAGTGAATGGGAGGGGATTGTGAGTTTCTGCTTGGCCTGTAGGTAGTTGTTCAGCCTCTTAGGTGCATGCTTGTCTGTGCCGGCACATAAAGCTGTGTAGCGAGACCGGCCGGGCGCCCTGGGAGGGCAGAGGGCCCGGCGGGGCACAATCCTGCTGATGACTGACTCGGACCAGGAGCAGTCTGACCACCAAGGAGGAGAGGAGATTGTGAGCAGCAGGTGGCTAGCCCCTGTCCACAGGCAGGGGAGCTGTTTTTCACTATCGAGTCTCGCTCACCTGTAAAATCTCACACAAAACTTAAATTTCCTCATGGTGACAGTGGTGGCAGTTCCTCCAGCGTAGTTCCATCTACAGGGGACGCAGGTAGGGTGCCAGGGGAGGCGGAAGTGAAAAACAAAAACTGAAGAATGAATGGCGCGTAGGCTTGCTGGCTGCCGGCTAAGAGAGTAGTTGTGAGGATTGGAGGGAAAGCAAGCATCTAGTACCGAGTTCTAATTCCAGTCTCAAGCCAGAAAGTCGTTCTACAGAAAATATAATTGGATGTGGGTGAGAAAGGACTGGGCAAGAAGGTAAGATTTAAGGGCTGGGAAGGTGGCTCAGTGGTAGAGCACTTGCCTTGCATGCCTGAGGCCCTGGGTTCAATTCCTCAGCACTGCATACGCAAAAAGAAAAAAGCCGGAAGTGGCGCTGTGGCTCAAGTGGTAGAGCGCTCGCCTTGAGCTGAAGAGCTGAGGGACAGCGCCCAGGCCCAAAGGTTCAGGCCCCACGACTGGACCTCCCCCCCCCCCAAAAAAAAAAAAGATAAGATTTAAGACAAACATGAAAAGTCAAAAACAAATCAAAACAATAAAGATAAACTCTGCTGGGCACTGATGGCTCACGCCTGTAATCCTAGCTACTCAGGAGGCTGAGATCTGGCCCTGGCAGTAAAGTCTCTGAGACTCTTAACCTCCCAGTAAACTCATAAGAAAAAGCCAGAAGTGGAACCGTGGCTCCAAGTGGTAGAGTGCTGTCCTTGAGCACAAACAGGTCCCAAGTTCAAGCCTCCCCCCCACCAACAAAAAAGATAAACTTGTAGCTGTGCGCTGGTGGCTCATGCCTGTAATCTTAGCTACTCAGGAGGCTGAGATCTGAGGATCACGGTTCAAAGCCAGCCCAGGCAGGAAAGTCTGTGAGACTTATCTCCAATAAACCACTAGAAAACTGGAAGTGGCACTGTGGCTCAAGTGGTAGAGTGCTCACCTGGAGCTGAAGAGCTGAGGGACCACGCCCAGGCCCAGAGTTCAAGCCCCATAACCAACAAAAAAAAGCAAATTAAGATAAAAAAGATAAACTTGTTAGCGTGAGCTTTTGTGTCCATATAAATGTATAAATGAGTGTGTGTGTATACACATATACACACAGGGGTGTAAGAGGCTGTGTACCTGGAGGTCTGGCCGGCCTGTGTGGAGACCTCTGATCTGCCCTGCAGTTAACCCAACACATGGAGTAGGGATGCGTGCTCCAGGGTGGGGGGCATGCCTCAGGCCCCGGGCTCCCTTGGTGCCCTGCCCCACCACACGGTCTCCCAGAGTCCACGCTTCCGGTGTTATACCTGCCTCTGATTTCACCAACACTCACCTTCTACGCTGGAGTAGAGCTAGCTGGCCTAGAACTTGCCTTCTGCCTGTTTTAGCCTCCTGGGGACTGGGCCCTGCTCCACTGTGCATGGCCCTTTAAATAGAGCTATTGTCTCTAGCTCTGGCCCATTGAGTGTTGCAGTCCGTCTTGTTTTTGACTCAGTAGAAGGGGAAAGGGGACTATTTGCTTGAGCTAACCAGGTAAAGATGGGCTAGCAGATTAAGGACGCACAGGTCCGTGCGTAAGGCAGGCTGGTGGCCTGAGACCTTGGCCAGTTTGTGTGTGCCGAGCGGGGAGGAAAGGGAGACCAGGAGCAGCCGCCTGAGGGAGGGTGTGAGCGTCGGCCCTGGCCATTCCCGGGGATAACCAGGGGCGCGCCGTGGTCCGGGGCGTGAGTGTGCTCCTGTGCATTTCAGTGATGATCTGGGACGACCTGAAGAAGAAGACTGTCATCGAGATCGAGTTCTCCACGGAGGTCAAGGCAGTCAAGCTGCGGAGAGACAGGTGGGCCGGCGCCTTCCTCGGCTCTGGGGGGGAGGAGCGGCGTGGGGATGACGCGTCCACAGGGGAGCCTGGGGAGCTCTGCCTGCCCGGGGCCTGCCCGAAGAGCACCGCCTCACTCGCCCCCAGCCCGCGTGGAGAGCCCGTGCTGGAGGAGGAGGACGGGCTGTGAGTGGTGGCCTTCGTGTCTCCAAGGGTGACAAGAGGTCACAAAACGTGCCTTTCCCGTTGAAGGGGGAAAACCGACCCATTTTTCTTTTCAGAATCGTGGTGGTGTTGGACTCCATGATTAAGGTGTTCACATTCACACACAACCCCCATCAGCTGCATGTCTTTGAGACCTGCTACAACCCTAAAGGTGAGGGCTGGAGGGGGAGCTCTGGGCGCGGGTCCTGATCCTGGGGTGTGGGGGCAGCCGCGGCCCGGCCGCTGTGGTGCGCGGGGCCCTCACCCGGCCCGGCCGCTGTGGTGGCCCGGCCGCTGTGGTGCGCGGGGGCCCTCGCCCGGCCTGGCCCTCCCGCAGCCTCGCCCTCCCGCAGGGCAGGTCCTCCTGCACACACCACAGGTGCCTGCAGTTTCTTCTCTTTCCTAACTTGCTTGTTCATTACCATCACAGCTCTTTACCCCACTGCTACCGGACAGGGGCTGAGGAGCGTGAGGGTCAAGTTTTGGCTTCCTTCAGTCTTAGTTTTTGTGCCTGGCTTTGTCCGCTGTCGGCTGAAGATTAGCTCTGACTTCATTCGCACAGTGAGCTAGGTGCACGGCCAGGGACAAGGCCGGTGGAGTCTTAGTGACGTGCACCTGTGCCTTCATTTCTAAGTGTTTGAGGGGTTTTTATGCTGTGTTTTTTGCCTGTGGAGTAGTTTACCTTTTAGCGTTGATTGCAGTCCCAGCAGCAGTAAATTGGCAATTACACGGAAAGAGTCCCCGATACCATTTCCCAGCATACCGTTTCCCATCAGCGTGTCTTTGACTTGGGGATTCTGGGTTGCGGCTGCCACTCTGCTTGTGGACTGGAGGACAGAGAGTATGTTTGGGTTGTGAGGCTCAAAAGCCTTGCCATTGTCAGCTCTGGTGGATTTGTCTCCCCAGGCCTCTGCGTCCTGTGTCCCAACAGTAACAACTCCCTCCTGGCCTTCCCGGGCACCCACACGGGCCACGTGCAGCTCGTGGACCTGGCCAGTACGGAAAAGCCGCCCGTGGACATCCCCGCACACGAGGGCGTGCTCAGCTGTATCGCTCTCAGCCTGCAGGGCACTAGGATCGCAACGGCGTCCGACAAGGTGAGGCCCCGTTGGAGCTGGCCGCCCCAGGCCGCTCCCACCGCAGACCAGGCTTGCGCTAAGACAGCCTGGCGGGGGCTTCTGTGAGTCCAGTAGTGGAGGCCGGGGCCAGGAGGGTGGCAAGTTCATAGCCAGTCTGGGAGCCTGGGCGATACGGTGAGACCCTACCTCAAAATAAGATAAAAATGGGCTGGGAAGGTGGCTCAGTGGTAGAGCGCTTGCCTTGCATGCATGAGGCCCTGGGTTCGATTCCTCAGCACCCCATAAGCAAAAAGAAAAAAGCCGGAAGTGGCGCTGTGGCTCAAGTGGTAGAGCGCTAGCCTTGAGCTGAAGAGCTGAGGGACAGCACCCAGGCCCAGAGTTCAGGCCCCACGACCGGACCCCCCCCCCCACAAAAAAAAAGAAAAACTAAGATAAAAACAAACACAAGAAGAAAGAAGCCCTGCAGTTCACAGCCAGGTCCTCCCTGCGGCTTCTTGGCAGAAGGCTCTGAGCCACTCAGAACTGCGTGGTGTGTCTCCGTGTGTGCTCCTGGTTGAATTTCCACCATCTTACATTTAAAATACGGCACTATTTTCCTGCAGGTTGCGTGATATGAAAAAGTTGCTTTTAACAAGGTTTACCTATGACTTGTTTTTACTTTCATTAGCCTGATTTTATACATTTCCAAAGACAGTTTATGCTTTTTACTTTAACTTTTTTAAGATTGCAAGTCTAGTATCTGTAGAAAGCCACTCACTTTGGTGGGGTGATAGCTTGCGCGAGCGTGTCTGCCGCCCTGGCGTGTGGGCGTGCCGGCAGCTCTGCCGCCCCTGGCGTGTGGGCTGGTGCTGGGGCCGTGGCTGAGGTGTGAACCGCACTTTTGCCCCTCCACTGGACACGCTGTGTCTGGAGGCTGCTTTTGTCTCTAGGATTGCGTGTGTCCTCATCGTAACTCAGGTGAGATTTCCTAGACTGGAGAAACGGGGCACCAGCCTGGGCCTGAGGTTGTTCGGGACTTGGCCAGGGCGCCAGCTGCCGGGGTCTCGGAAGGCCTTCCTGTGTGGTCTCCTGAGCCGTCCTGGCCCCTGCCCTGTGCTCTGGGTGGCTGCGTCGGCAGACCAGGGACATGTGGGAGTTTGGGAGGTTGGGCAGGTGGGTTTGTGAATGCATGAATATTTCAGGAACGGTGACATGTCAGTTGTTGATAATGAAACACTTCGCTGTTTTTCAAAGGGGACCCTTATAAGAATATTTGATACTTCATCAGGGCATTTAATCCAGGAGCTACGAAGAGGATCTCAAGCAGCTAATATCTACTGGTAAGGGGGCCAGCGACTGCCCTGGAGATCAGCCCGTGAGAGGCTCACGTGGCAGCAGGCAGGTCTTGATTGTTACTGACTCCCCCTTTAGTTATGGAGGACACACTCAGATGCACAGCGTGGCCGCTCTGCGCCCTGAGACCACGCAGTGCCCTCACCTCCTGCGTCTGACTCTTCCTGGGTTTTAACGCAGATTTTGGACCTCCCCTGTTGATTGTCGCATCCCAGCAGGCCCTCGGGCAGGCCGCCCCTGGGGGTCTGCAAAGTCCTTGGGTGCAGCGTGCTCGGCTGTCCTCTGCTCTGCTGGCTAGCGCCGGCACCTGGGGGCAGCCTGAGCCTCTCAGTGGGCATGGGGTCTCGAGCCCCCCCCCCCCCAGCCCAGGTGGCACCCTGGGGTGTCTGGAGACAGCTGAGACTATGCTTTGCCTCTTGGGCTTTTCCTTCTCTTTGTACCATGAAGAATATGTTGGATATCAAAGAGCAGGTCCTTAAAACTGAGTTCTTAGGCACTGGTGGCTCAGGCCTGTAATCCTAGCTGCTCCTGAGGCTGAGATCTGAGGATCGAGGTTCAAAGCCAGCCCTGGCAGGAAAGTCCATGAGACTCTTATCTCCAATAAGCCACCAGAAAACCGGAAGTGGTGCTGTGGCTCAAGTGGTAGAGTGCCAGCCTTGAGCTGAAGAGCTGAGGGGCAATGCCCAGGCCCCGAGTTCAAGACCCATCAGTGACAGAAAAACCCAAAACCTGTGCTGTTGAAGCTGGAGTGCTGAGGCCTCCGCAGCTGGCAAGGCAGCGTGTCGGGCCTGGGCGTGGGCCTGAGTGTCGGGTCTCGGCGCGGGCCTGAGCGCGGGCCTGAGCATAGGGTCTCGGCGCGGGCCTGAGCGCAGGCCTGAGCATCGGGTCTCGGCGCGGGCCTGAACGTCGGGTCTCGGCGTGGGCCTGGGCGCGGGCCTGGGCGCGGGCCTGAGCGTGGGGTCTCGGCACGGGCCTGGGCGCGGGCCTGAGCATCGGGTCTCGGCCCAGGCCTGAGTCTCTGTCTCCTTGGCAGCATCAACTTCAATCAGGACGCGTCGCTCATCTGCGTGTCCAGTGACCATGGCACCGTGCACATCTTCGCAGCCGAAGACCCAAAAAGGAATAAGCAGTCAAGGTAAGTGTCAGGAATGCTGCGGGCTGGCGGCGCTGTCAGGTGCTGTGAGCCTGGTACCCCACGCTAATGCTGTCAGGTGCTATGGAACACCACAGCAGTTTTTTCTGGAATGCTGGTGGAGAGACATTTCCTGGAACTGGGCACACTAACCACGATCTCATTTAAAAAACATTTCTAAGGACTTTGAGGTTTTATGTAAGTAATAAAAGCTTTTTTAGCCGGGCGCCAGTGGCTCACACCTGTAATCCTAACTTCTCAGGAGTCTGAGATCTGAGGATTGTGGTTCAAAGCCAGCCTGGGCAGGAAAGACCGTGAGACTCTTACCTCCAGTAAACGATCAGAAAAATCAAAGTGGCGCTGTGGCTCAAGTGGTAGAGTGCTCGCCTTGAGCTGAAGAGCTGAGAGGCAGCGCCCAGGCCCAGAGTTCAAGCCCCACGACCAACAAAAAGAAAAAAAGAAAAAAAAATTAAATAGAACTAAAAGCATCAAGTTTAAAGCCTTGGTGTTTGGGGTGGTCTCTGAGTTGAAGTGTCTGTCTGACTTGGTAAGCCCCACCCCTCTTCGTGTCCCCACAGCCTGGCGTCAGCCAGCTTCCTTCCCAAGTACTTCAGCTCCAAGTGGAGTTTCTCCAAGTTCCAGGTCCCCTCCGGCTCTCCGTGCATCTGTGCCTTTGGAACGGAGCCCAATGCAGTCATTGGTGAGTGGTCCCCTGGGGGGAGGGGGGCGAGCTTCTGCCCTGCCGCCTTCCCAGGAGACGCGCCCCCTTACTGGACCGGTGTGCGTCGGGCTGCCCTGTGCTCAGGTCCTGGAGGCCGTTTGCTTGCATAGCGTGGGGAGACCTGGGTGCTCTTAACTTCGTGGAAGAGGGCCGTGGTGACATGCTCTCCCCTCTGTCCCAGCGATCTGCGCCGATGGCAGCTACTACAAGTTCCTGTTCAGTCCCAAGGGCGAGTGTGCGCGGGATGTGTGTGCACAGTTCCTGGAGATGACGGACGACAGGCTGTGATGCCCTGTGGCCGCGGCCGCGCTCGGGGTGCCCGCGGACTCCTGGGACCGCGTCCTGAGGCCGTGCGTGGCTGTCCTTCCAGAGCCGGGCTTACGGCTCCCACATTAAAGAGGATCACCGTCCCAGCTCCGCAGACGCTGCCCTGTCATTCAGCTCTGGCGTTGGCGTTCGTGGTCCCGCTGCTCCCTCCTGCCTGCCCAGAGCAGCCGTGATGGCAGAAGCTTGTGTCTGCAGCAGTTCCATCATTGCCCCCGAGCCCCCGGTGACGTGCAGGTGGGCACGTCAGCCTGTGCAGCCTGGGCTGCTGCACAGAGACGCAGCCGGCCGTTGAGAGCGCCTGCGCCCAGCGTGGCGCCCCACGAGGCCTGGTCCTCGACCGACCGGGCTGGCTCTCCTGGTTAGACTGGGTTCAAAGGGAGTTTTCCGGTACAGACAGGGGCCAAGTCGGGTCGGAGAAGGCGGTGGGTAGTTTGGGGGCCTGCCCTGCAGTGCCCACTGCCATCTGCCTGTCACTGGGAACGGTGGCAGCCGCTGCCCCCTCCCCCTGGCATCTGGAGGAAAACTGTACACTACCCTGGAGCAGGAGACGTGGCGGCACTGGTGTGGGTACAGGACCTGCGTGGTGGTGCCACCGAGCTGTGCATTAATTGTCTTGAGTCCTTTCCAGGAAGCCCGGTTTTAGTTTTGAGTTCGTGTTGCAGACATTTAAACTCCACCCGACGTCGAGTTCCCCGGTGTCTTCACTGTGATGTAATCAGCTTTGTGTGTGGATTCCGTGTCAAGTATGCATGTTGCCCCCATGTGTATTTAATCATGAAACTTAATTTTTGCACACTTATTTGTACTGTTCTTTTCAATAAAAGTGACTAATTTTGTTGTACTCTGTACCAGAGGCAAGCAGAGCCGGGCCTGGGAAGCCAGGTGCCCCTTTCCTGCTGAGGGGCCGGGATGTGGGTCCAGGACGTCCGGCCTGTGCCCGGCCTTGTGTGCTCTTGGCTGGACTGGCCCCTGAGAATGAGGGGAAGGCTGTAGGAGAGCAGGGCTCAGACAGAACTGCTCCCTGTGGGGTGGGCAGGGAGCAAGGCCCTGCACAACTCTACACATTTTTGCGGTTTAGTGTATCAAGTTACAGCCCTGCCCTCGGGTGCAGAGCTGTTGAGCCGCCCTGTGCCCAGGCTGCAGGGGCTCTGCCACGGGCAGTGGCTTGGCCGTGAGACGTGTACACGGCTTGCAAATGTGCTGGGCTGACCTGAAGACAAAGGTGGCTGTGATCGCCTGCCCTCCCCACTGTGAAGACCCCCGCTCCGACTCCTTCGTGTCCTCTGGTTTTGTTGTTGGGAGCTGGACCTCGACGTTGGGGCTCAAGGGCTCTGGATGACGATTCTCCCCCTCCCTAGGACCGCCTCTTTCCTGAAGAGCCCTCCCTCCCCTTCCCCAGCCTTGCATCTGATAGGCAGGTGCTCTACCTCGAGCCACGCCTCCACCCTTCTTGTCTACTTTTCATGTAGAGTTGGGCCGGCCTGAGTTACAGCCCCCTTTGTTTGCATTCCACTGTGCCCAACTTTTTATTGGTTGAACTGTTAGCTTTAATCCAGTCCTCCCAAGTAGCTAGGATTCAGCAGAAGCCCAGCAGTTGTCTTCTGTCAGTGCCCTTTCCAAACCTTTTCAGGCTGTGACACTTAGTGACCCGACCAGACCTCCTCTACTGCTTTTGGGTGTGCTGCCAGGCAGGTCAGGATGCCCAGGCCTTACTGTGCAGCACCACACCTGCGGGCTGCCCGGGCCACGTGGCTGTGGCCACCGGGGTGTGGTGGGTGCAGACACCATGGCTGGAGGTGTGTCAGCTGCCCATCTGCACTGCTGTGGACTCCGCCATGCAGCACAGGGCCACAGCTTCCTGCTCACCGACACTGTTCTCGTGCTACCTTTTGCTGGAAGGCTGAGGCACCCATTCCAAGGATCTTACATCTGATTTTTGTTGTTGTTCATTGTGGGGCCTGAACTCTGGGCCTGGGCGCTGTCCCTCAGCTCTTCAGCTCAAGGCTAGCACTCTACCACTTGAGCTACAGCGCCACTTCTGGCTTTTTCTGCTTACGTGGTGCTGAGGACTCGAACCCAGGGCCTCATGCACACAAGGCAAGCACTCTTACCTTCCCAGCCCTCACACCTGATTCTTGAGCATTGGCAAGGCTTTCTGTGTTCTTTTAAAGGGCACAGACCTGAAATGAAGGCTCCACGCTGGGAGGGGGGTGAGGGATGGGAGCAGGGTGTGCGGACAGTTGTGGGGCTAAACTCGGGGCCTGGGCGCTGTCCCTGAGGTTTTGCTCAAGGTGAGTGCTCTATCACTGTGAGCCACAGGACCGCTTCTGGTTTCCTGAGGGTTTATTGGAGCTAGTTGTCTCATAGGACTCTCCTGCCCGGGCTGGCTTTGAACTGTGATCCTCAGATCTCAGTCTCCTAAGTAGCTAGGATGACAGGCAGGTGCCACAGCACTGTATTCACAAACTGGTCTGTTGAATAGCTACTCCTCTGTATATCTAAAAGTTTAAAAATACACTGACAAAGCATGTACAATAGCAATGAAAAATGTTTTTTGAGACAGGATCTCACAATGTAGCTTTAGCTGGCTTTGAACTTAACAGTCTTGCCCTGGATTGTATCACAGATATGTGCCACTCTGGGCCACCATGTCTGGCCCCTAAATCGTTTTTATACCAACTTCCTTTGCTGGGAGCCAGTGGCATACATACTTAACACTTTACTGTTGCTACCAAGTGCCTTTAAGTGCTGGAACTTTTGGGTCACTTCAAGAACACGTGCCTTGCGTCATGAGCACAGGTATAACGAACGTTTCTCTGGTACTTCAATTTTGGAACAAAGCCGCAGTGGACTCTGGTCTGTCCTCCCCGTGGACAGGGATTCTGGCTAGTCACACACTGCACACCTTTGTGGTACGTGCTGGTCACAGCCCTCTCATGAAGGCTTTACCCAGCCTGTTTCAAAGCTGGACAGCCCTGATGCAAGTAGCGCTCGGTCAGTTTCACCTGGTGGCTTGGTAACCTGGGGGTTGCCACAGCTTCGGGTATCTCTCCTCTATCCCCCAGGAACTCTTCGCTGTTGGCTAACAAGAACCCAGGTTTTCCAGCTTGGGGCCAGAGTTGAAGGGAAAAAAAAAGAACTGGGTGCCACAGTGGCCTGGCCCCTGCCGTGGGAGCTGCTTCCCCAGGGCACCACCAATGTAAGGAAGTGCTTCTGGAAGGCCACGTTCACCCCCATCTCCAGGAGGCCACCTGCGGGGCAGTGCCGCAGGGCAGGGCAGTGGCTTCAGTCAACAGCTGCTTGTCACCAGAGTGGCCCCAGGGCTTCTGCAGGTCGGTGACCACAGGTGCACACGCGCACACGCACACAGACACCCTTAAATCCTGGCTGTGTTCTGTGGACATGAATGCAGCAAGATGGCTGGTGCCCACAGAAACCCACTGGGAGCTAGCTCTCAGTGCGGTGACATCTAAGCAATCATATGCTGTGGTTTCTCTCCCAGAGCTGCCCCCTGCACTCACCATGCTGCTGCCTGCAGAGGCTGTGGACAGGGCTTCCCCCTCCCCACCAGCAGAGCTCTGGGTGCCCAGACCTTCCTCCAGTGCCCTTGAGGGTCCGACCGGAAGCCTGTGCCACCTCAGCTCATCTTCGAGGACGGCCCCCTGCCTTGTCCATTCTACTTGAATCCAGTGGACTCCAAGGGGGAAGTGGGGAGTTCTTGGTGCCAACTTCGCTCGGCAGGCCCGTGCTGGCCGGCCTCGTGCACAGCAAACGGGACGTGGGCCGTTTGAACCTCAACACCCAAGTACCGCTTCGGAAGCTGTTCCGTCTGTAGTGTTTTGACCCTTCGGCTGGATCAAGTATACAGATGAAATAGCAGAGAACCTGTTAAAATTTCTGCATCACCTGGCGGGCAGGGTACCCGCTGCTGCCCCAGTCCAGCAAGCCAGACTCCGGGTAAGGCTCTGCGTGCTCAGACGGGCACAGGCCAAGAAGAAAAGCAGAAGTTCACCAAAATGACGATACTCTATTCCATTAAAATGAATAAAAAATACTTTATTACATTTCAGGAACTTGGTACTTAAAAAAAATTTCCAATCTTTGCACACAGGCCACCATCTGTCTAGAACAGGGAAGCTGTCCCTTGCCACACCCCACAGAAAGCCCCGCGTGCTGGTGGCCACAGCCTCGGCCCGACCCTGGCGCGTGGAGGAGCCGGCCGAGGACGTGGGGTGGGCTGCGGCCCGCTGCCCCGTCAGCCACCCGCTTTGTGTCCTGGGGACACAGGCGGCACTTCCCTTTGTGCTGGTGTTTGGGGCTGGCTGCTGATTAAGGTTCTGGTTCTGGAAGGAGCTCAGGACCACCTTGAGTGTGACCCGCTGACGTTAGGCTGCCCACCTGCCCAGGACAAGAGCGAGACCCATCTGGGGCAGGACCAACTCCGAGTTCCCACGCAGGGCCTGAAAACCTGGAGACCGCCTGGGCACAGAGCTGGCTTCCTGTCCTCTGGCACAGCCCTGAGGGGACAGGTGTGGATGCCGTGCCGTGAGGGCGGCCCTGAGACCGAGGGCCACCGGGAGGCAGCTGTCCTCGCCTCTCACGCCAAGCGTTAGTTAGCAGACGACAACTCCAGAGCCCCAGTCTGCCGTCAGTGGCCGGCGGCCATGCTATGCAGGAAGGCGCTACCTGCGTCCTGGGGCAGCCCATCCTCGCCAGTGTTCGTGGAGACCGGCAGACGCGCACGGCACACAGGACTCGTAAGGATTAAACGCACCCCAAGGTGCTGGGAGGTGCGGGAAGCAGACCGCAGCCTGTGCCCGACAGTGGCTCTGGTCTGAAGGCAGACTTCAGTGGACACACGGTCTCACTCATGATTTCTCACTTTATTTGTCAAGTGACTGAGTTATAAAATCCATCTAGTGTGCAGTAATTCATAATTTTAATACGCATCATCTGCAGTAACAAGACAGCTCCATACCGTGACGCGACACGCAATACTAGAACAGACTTGTATTTGGTCTTTATGTAAATAATGTTTTAAAATTGCCTAAATATACCATTCTGAGCCATTTCATTCCACCAGGAAAATACAGGGTTTCTTCCCCCTCTCTTTAAAAAAAATTAAATACCAAAATAACTACATTTAAATAAATAATGTTATGATGATGACATTAAAGAACAAGGCTGCAGCCTGTCTGCCCTGCCCGCCCGTCTCCTTCCCTCTGGGTCTCAGGACTTAAGGAGAGAAGGGAGCCTCTGTGGAGGCAGATTTGGAGGGCAGGGCGCCCCGGGACGGGAGCCCAGCCTGGAGGGTGCTCACAGGAACCGCAGGCCCTGCGTCCCGGCCACACACAGCATGGGTTCCTAGGGTACATACTCGATCTGTTTTCCAAGGAAGGAAGGATGGAAGGACGGAAGGAAGGAAGGAAAGAAGGGAGGGTCTGTTGTTTTGGGCATACACAACACTTAGGAGACTGCTTTACTTAAGAGTAGGAAATGATACCAGGGACAGTCAACGCGCAGGAACGGACAAGGAGGCGGCGAGGAGGTGGGCGGCAGGGCGGGGTGTGTCCTGGTCACCCGCGCGCACTGCCCCCCGTTCTGACAGGGGGAGGGACGTGCAAGTGTCCCGGAGGAGCACAGGACAGATAGACCATCCCACCAGCTGAAAACAAACCACAGAAACAAACAGAATGGTGTCGCTGCTGTCCCCAAATTAACCCACGTGAAAGGTTCTGTGATTCCAAAATTTCCAGAGTAGAAATGGAGTGGTGTGAAATGTCAAAGACCCCCATTACTGTGTAAAGAAAGTACACCTCAAAATATTCTAATTCCACGTGAACAACAAAACACTGTCTTGTCTCCGGGAGGGGGGTGGCTGGCTCTGGCCCATCCCTTGGTGAGCCCAGTCTGCAAGATCCGCTCACTCAGGCGCTGGCCGGCCTCCACCCCACAGGAGGCTTGGGCCCAAAGGCCGGTCCTTGTTGTGCGTCCTGAAAAGCTGAGCTCACAAGCGGCGGCCCAGCGGGCGCTCTGCGGGAACACCAGCTCAAGCCGGGGGCCGCTGCGCACTGGCTCCCGTGTGACTTGGTCCATGGAAGGGAGTTTTAAGGCCACCTGGGTTTGTGTTTTCAGTGCTGGGAAGTGAAGTCCAACCGCAGGGCCCTTCCTTTGCACGGGCGGCGCCGCTCTCTCCTTTTGGCACCAGAGTTGACGTCCGCGTGAGCAGCGCTCAGTGCTAGTTCTGGAGCCCCTTCTCCCGCACGGCCACCGGAGGGGCGTCGACACTCAGGGCGATGACGATGCGCTCCCCGTCCTCGGCCTTGATCCGCTTCAGCTCCGGCTGCTCTGCCTCGTCGCCGTTTTGGCGCTTGGTGGGCAGGGAGGCCGACGCGGAGGCGTGGGTGGCCAGCATGTGTAGGGGGCTAGCAGCTGCGGAGGAGAGGCAGCAGGTCAGAACCCCCGCAGGACCCACTCGGCCCCAGAGCCCGGCCCGGGAACACGGCTTCCTGACCGGCACACACCCACAGCGGGGCTTCGGCCCCGCCACCCTCAGAGCCACGAGCCAGCTCAGGGTCGGGGGGCAGGGCGCCCGGCCGCAGCAGAATGGAGCTCCTGGGTGCCACACTCCTGTGGTGCCTGCTCGCTGTCACTGTGACCTGAACACACCTGGGAAGGTGGCTAAGTGGTAGAGCGCTTGCCTTGCATGCCTGAGGCCCTGGGTTCGATTCCTCAGCACCACATAAGCAAAAAGAAAAAAGCCAGAAGTGGCGCTGTGGCTCAAGTGGTAGAGTGCTAGCCTTGAGCTGAAGAGCTGATGGACAGCGCCCAGGCCCAGGGATCAGGCCCCACGACCGGAACCCCCCCCCCCAAAAAAAAGACCCAGGACAGCGGTCACCAAGTCCTGCAGGCCGATGTCAGCACGGCAACATGCATGCACACACACGCGGGCACGCACACACACACACACAGCTAAGGAGGAAGCCAGGTCCAAGGTGGCAGGCGTTGGGCTGAGGCAGGACCAGGATGCCCAGCGGGGCACAGTGAAGGAGGACCCCGGGCCCACGGAGACCACCAGTGCCGGATTTCCCTAGGGAAACGAGGCAGGGCGAGTGCAGGCGCTCGCTCATCAGTGTGGTGCGAGTGGCGGGGCGGGGCAGGAGTGACAAGGTGCAGCCTTGCAGGCGGATGCCCTGGCAGCGGGCACGGGTGTGGACGGCCTGGCAGCAGGCACGGGCACGGGTGTGGACGGCCTGGCAGCGGGCACGAGCACGGGTGTGGACGGCCTGGCAGCGGGCACGGGTGTGGACGGCCTGGCAGCGGGCACGGGCACAGGTGTGGACGGCCTGGCAGCGGGCACGGGTGTGGACGGCCTGGCAGCGGGCACGGGTGTGGACGGCCTGGCAGCGGGCGTGGGGCGGGGGGGTGGAGCCATGTTGCTGGTCAGCCAGGTGTGCCCAGCTGGAAAGCAGGCCGCCGGGCTGGAGGCTCCATGTATCGGGCCACGGAGGCAGCCGGTGGGCTGCAGTCAGAGCTGGCCTGGCCGGCCCTCGGGGGGCGGTGCCGAGGCCGCCGCCCTTCCAGGCTCCTTTCTGACACCCAGCAGCCAGGGGCGCCAAGGTAAAGACAAGTTGCAAACTCCCCAAAATGCAGCACAAGGGGGAAGAGCCTGTAGGCTCATCTGGCAGATTTTAAACAGCTGCAAGAAACAGCAGAGATCAGCGCTGCCAAGCAAAGGGCGGAGGTGGAGAGGGCGGCATGGCCCTGTGGGCTGTGGCTGCCGGGCCCCTGCAGCGCAAGACCTCATCTCACAACAGACTGACCGGCGAGAACACGAGGGATGGAATACCTAACCAGAAACTAGGTCAAGACCGGCTGGCTGTCTGTGGCGAGTCTACCCAGGTCGGTTCTTCTGCAGAACTGGAAAACAGAGCAGAGGCTCCACGCCCCACGCACGCTCAGCGTAGTCCTCCACATCTCCCCCAAAAAGGAAGGAACTCCTGGCTCGTTCCACAAGGCCACTGTCAAGCAAGCCCACAGCCAGCCGGACTGAGAAAACAGACCAGAGCGTCAAGGACAGGCGCAAGTCACCGTCACAGCACACTGAGCAGCCCATCTGCGAGACCAGCGGGTCCTGCCCAGAAGGTGTGCGTACCTGGTCCTGGTGAAGGACCCCATCACAGCTACACTAAAGGGAAGACAAACCAGCCATCATCCGAGTTGGCAAAAGTCAGCACCTTCCGTGAATGGAGGAAATGGACCGGTCACCACCCACAGAGGCGTGTGCCCCGAGACAGGGCCCTCAGCACTCCCCGCTGTACCCTGCGTCCTAGCTAGAGAGAGGAGACGTGCAGGGCAGGCAACGAAATGCAGGTAGACACAGTGGCACACGCTGAAACCCAGCCGCTTGGGGGCAAGCCAGCCAGCACCACCACCACTGCTCAACCCGGCGGGCTCCACAGCCAGCCAGCACCACCACCACTGCTCAACCTGGCGGGCTCCACAGCCAGCACCACCACTGCTCAACCCGGAGGGCTCCACAGCCAGCCAGCACCACCACTGCTCAACCCGGCGGGCTCCACAGCCCTTCAGGACTTCCTTTTTATTTTTTTCTGGACCTGGAGCTTGATCTGTCCCTTGGCTTCTCTGTGCTCAAGGCCTAGCGCTCTACCACTTGAGCCACTGCACCACTTCTGGCTTTTTCTGAGTCGTTTATTGGAATTAAGAGTTATGGGCTTTCCTGCCTGGGCTGGCTTCAAAATGTGATCCTCAGATCTCAGCCTCCTGAGTGGCTAGGATGACAGGTGTGAGCCACGGGGGCCTGGAGAGGATTTAACCACGGCTAGGTGCCTGATGTAAGCAAGGCGGCCCAGAATCCCACACTGCTTCCTGTCTGAACTTGAAAGGGCTTTCAGAGCAGCATTCTCTACTTCCACTGTCTTCTCTTCAAAGTTCGAAAACTTGCAAACATCAACAGCCGCCCTATGTGAAGAGCAGGGCCATCAGACAAAGGGCCGTTCACCACCCACCAAAGATGCGTCTGCGCTCGCCTCTTCTCTTTCCAGATAGTGTGTGTGCTAGTCTAGCGGGAGCCCTGGCTGCCAACTCTCTTCCAGTCCCTCGGCCTGCAACGTAGAAACACAAAGCCATCCACACCTGTCATCCTAGCTACTCAGGAGGCTGAGATCTGAGGATCGCAATTTGATACCAGCCTAGGCAGAAAAACCTGTGAGACACTTATCTCTGATTAACCCCAAAAGCCCACGGTGGAGCTGTGTGGCTCACGCGGTAGAGCACTAGTGTTGAACACGAGGCTCAGGGACACGCGCCCCCCCAGGGGGCCAGGAGCGGGAGGCAGCCCCTGCCACAGAGCAGGTCTGGCCGGGCGCTCAGCGAGGCGGAGTCCTTACCGCTGTTCACCTGGCTGTGCACGGCGGGGGGGATGGGCACCACGTGGGTCCCGTTCTGCGTGACCGTCTTGATCGGGAGCTGGTGCTGGCCCAGAGGCGCTTGCTGCACAATGGTGACCGTCTGCACGGGGGGGCCTGGCGACGCCTGGAGGATGCGGCCAGTGGCGCCCAGCGCGGCGTGGCCAACTGCAGGAACAGGCTCTACCTTCACTGAAACCCAAGAGAGACAACACCACTAGGGTTAGAGGAAAGCCGATAGACCTCACACCGTAAAACAACAAGACCATCACCCGAGCCGGGGGCAAACGGCTCCTGCCTGCCATCCTAGAGACTGAGGACCACGGCGAGGGGCCAGCCGGGCCAGGAAAGCCCGTGAGACTCACTGCCAACCGAGTGCCAGACAACCGGAAGTGGCACTGAGGCTCCAAGTCATAGAGCCCGAGCCTCGGACAAAAAACCTCGGGGACAGCGCCCAGGCCCTGAGTTCAAGCCCCACAACCGACAACAAAGAGTACTGCCTGGTTTTAAGACTGGCTGTAGAATGTCTCAGACCAGTCGACACAGAAGACTGGAGTCCTAGAATGTGCAGCGCCTGGACGGTCCCATCCCCAGCAGCGAAGCAGGAGAGAGAGTACCCTAAAAAGACACCCCTCCGCCTCCGCCTCGCTCACCTCTGACCTCTCTGTGGTCGCCATTCTCTTGCGGCTCTGCCTTCGGAGGGGCCAAGACTGCCGCCTGGGTGACCACGGCCTGGCCGGCGACAGTGTAGGTGTTTGCCGGGGCCAGCGCGGCCACGCTGGCGACCGACACGGCTGGTATCTGGTGGACGAGGTGGACGGTTTGCACCACGGGCGGCTGTGAGGCAGAGGTGGTCACCGGGGCGGCGACGGCGTAGGCGACGGGCTTCATGGCTGGGGGCAGCTGCCGCTGGACGGTGATTAAGACGGGCTGACTGGAAAGAGGTGAGCCTGGCAGGAGAGCGGGGAAGGGCTGAGGCGTGCACCCCCTCCTTCCCCACACCAAGCCTGGCCAGGGAGGCCGGCCGGGAACCTCAGGACGGGGCCCTGTTTTGCCTTATGGTGACGAATACTAAGAGAAAGGTTAGTATCTCAAGTTATTAATTCCTACACCTCTTCTCTACGAACACAGCGCCCTCCCAGGGCTCCCTCCTCACGAGATGTCCACACAAGGCCCACGTCTAGTGGAAGGGAACCCCGCACGCAGCCATCTGTGGCTGTCCCAACACCCTGTCCTTGGTGGCTTGAGGCTTCGACTAAAGTAACAGAGACATCAGCCCGGCGGGCTGGGAGGAAGCAAAGGGGCTGGGGGGAGGGGGAGGGGGAGGGGGGGAGGCCGGGGGTGGGGACACCGACCAAGACACGCTGTGCGCTTCCACAGACAGGGCGACTGGAAACCCTTTGTAAAACTACTAAAGACAGCCCTGACAGGAGTGGCAGTCATCACGCCGCCCCTGCCCTTTGGCCTTAGGACGGCAGGAACACAGGCTCCCAGCAATGCGTGCGTGGGAGGCCTGGGAGGGCACCAGAGCTCCAATAACCACCGACGCTCAGTGACACCAGACTAGCTGGCCCGGGAACATTCATCTAACACACACACACACACACTCACACTCTCTTTTGGCTCCCTTAGCTTTTTGTTGTTGTTAGTCGTGGAGCCTGGGGACTGTCCCTGAGCTCTTCTGCTCAAGGCCAGCGCTCTACCACTTATAGCCACAGTGCCACTTGGAGATAAAGAGTCTCACTGGGACTTTTCTACCCAGACTGGCTTCAAACTGCAATCCTCAGATCTCAGCCTCCTGAGTAGCTAGGATTACAGGCGTGAGCCACTGGCATCCAGCTATACAAATCCTTAATAACAATAAAATTATATTTTAAAAATCCTCTGGAAATGGACTTAGCAAAAAATCACGTCAAGTGAGGAAAGCCAAGCTCAGAGAGATAAATGGCTCATGGTTTCTTTCATACACGGGAACTAGATGTAAAACCCATGGGGACATGATAAATTATACAGAGATCAAAGGAGGACACTCTTTGGAGAGAAACATAAAAGCCCAAGGTCTATGGCATCTGATGATGCACAATAATACCTTAATACTTATCAAGATGAACTCCAGGAAATGGAGACGAGATATTTTTCTTTTGCTATTTGTTTTCTTTTACTTTTGTCTCATTTGTTCATCTACATGTCTTTGGGAAGGTGAAGGGAGCACAAAAATGGAGAGACAAAGGGTGAACAAATGCACAGTGGCACTCCCTAGACACTGGAAGAGGAGCTGTGCAGCTGTGGGCGGAGACGGGAGGGAAGGAATGGGAGGGGAGGGGAGACACAGCTCTGCCCAGCTTCATGCAGCTCCCAGCACACACCTTCACAGTAACAATACAAACAGTCTCCAGGGTGGGGCTGGGAAGGTGGCTCAGTGGTAGAGCGCTTGCCTTGCATGCATGAGACCCTGGGTTTGATTCCTCTGCACCACATAAGCAAAAAGAAAAAAGCCGGAAGTGGCGCTGTGGCTCAAGTGGTAGAGCGCTCGCCTTGAGCTGAAGAGCTGAGGGACAGCGCCCAGGCCCAGAGTTCAGGCCCCACGACCGGACCAAAAAAAAAAAATAAAAATCTCCAGGGTAAAGGTTTTGTTTTTTTGATGCCAGTCCTGTGGTTCGAACTTAGTTTTGGATATCTTCCCTTTTTTTGCTCAAGGCTAGCAGTTCTACTGGTTCCTCGTGGTTAATTGGAGAAGAGAGCCTCACGGACTTTTTGCCTAAGCTGGTTTCAAACCGTGACCCTCAGGTCTCAGCCTCCTGAGTAGCTGGGATGACAGGTGTGAGCCACTGGCTTGGTCTGCCTATTCATTAAGTGGATTCCTTTTCTGCGGTTATGAAATAGCACACTCGTGCTCCTGCTGGTTATGAAATAGCACACTCGTGCTCCTGCTGGTTATGAAATAGCACACTCGTGCTCCTGCTGGTATGAAATAGCACACTCGTGCTCCTGCTGGTTATGAAATAGCACACTCGTGCTCCTGCTGGTTATGAAATAGCACACTCGTGCTCCTGCTGGTTATGAAATAGCACACTCGTGCTCCTGCTGGTTATGAAATAGCACACTCGTGCTCCTGCTGGTTCTCCAAAGTCTCGGGCGGATCCCTTGGCACCCTGCGCCACGCAGCAGGTGTGGGGCGGGGCTGTGCACCGGGGCCTCAGCCCCAGCCTCGCTGCCTCTCCTGCTGCATCTTACCTGGTGCGCTCTGAGCGAACCGTGCCTCCTGGATGACTGCGAGTTTGGGCTGTGTGCCGCTGGGCTCAGGCTCCAAGGGGGCCGGCGAGCCTTCCCTGGACAGGCTCTCAGGGGTCTGGGCGCCACTGGAATGAGCAGACAGCACTCCTGCGTGGTTGGGGGAGGCCGGTGCACTCCTGGGCCACCAAAAGAAGACAGTGGGTTTTACAGTGACGCACTCGCCCCAGCAAGTGTCAAGTGTCCCTTGTCCTGGGCCCACACCTGGAGCCTCCTGGATATGACCAGTCGGCCCGTGGGCTGGGCCTCACACTCAGCCCCAGGCCTGCAGGAATCTGCAGAGCGCGAGCTGGCGGGGGCCTGGGGTCAATGCCAAGCCCAGGTCCTCTTTTGGGAAAAGCAGCGTATTGGTGATACAGTTTTTAGAAATCAGGCACATTAAAAACGATCTTGAGTTTAAGCAGCGAAAAGGAAGCCCTGAAGAACGGCTCATGTGCCGTCTCAGCAGTCAAGGAATCGGCAGGCACGAGGTAGCCCACATCGTTTTCCAAATCACCAACATCCACCAGAAGGTACTGGGGTCCTTGGTTTCTGCTAGGAACTGGTGCTTACCAGCCCCGGGGCCTGCTTACCGAGAGGACAGTGGCCCCAGAGGGGTTCTGAAGCAGGGCACGCCCCGGGGCCGCCGCTTCCGGAAGGCCTGCTCCACCAGCTTGCTCTCGGAGGCAGGGTCTATCCTCCAGAAGGAGCCCTTGCCCGGCTCTTCCTGGGATCGTGGCACTTTGATGAAGTAGCGATTCAGGGACAGATTGTGGCGGATGGAATTCTATGGGACATAAAATACATAGAATTCATGTAAGGCTGGGCTGAGAAATCAAAATGTGCCCATTTTAGTGCGCTGAAAAGCAGAAACCTCAGTGTCTGCAGGACTGAGCGCGGCGCTCCTTGGTGAACACTGGGTTTTACGCCTTCAGCTGGCAGCCAGCTCGAGTGAATCCCACAGCAGGTAGGCTCGTGCGTGCGTGCGTGTGTGTGCATGCGTGAGAGAGAGAGAAAGAGAGAGAGGGAGGAAGTAATGAATCTGCACAACACAGAAAATGTCATTTCCAACCTTAATCTCCTTTCAACCAGAAAACAAGGTGCCTATGATGGGCTGCCCTCATCAACCTTGCCAGGTGGAGACTGAGACCCAGCTGCCCAGACCCCACCCTGGAGAGGAAGAGAGGAAGGGGCAGTGGTGCACACCTGTACGCCCAGCACTGAGTGGCGGGGCCAGAGGCCAGGCCGGACTGACTACACAGCAGGACCCAGAACCAGCACAAAGAGAGAGCGAGCAGCGAGCATGAAGTAGATAGCGAAGGCTAAGAACTGTGACCGGTACCAGTAACAGATGCTCTGGTCTGTTTGCAAAGTACATTTATTTAGTTTCTTATTTGATCCTCACGGCTCTAAAATGTGAAGCAGAGAGTCAATTTCAACTCCCACTCCAATATTCTACTTGGAAAGTCCACTCCAGGTTTTCCAGGCCAGGCCACACACCATCACTTACTTACTTATTTTGCAGTACTAGAGTTTGATCTGGGGTTTCTGCTTCACCTCTTTCTTGCTGAAGTAACTCAGGGTCTCATGAGCCTGAACCTCCATCCTCCTGTTTGCACACGTGCCACCATGCCCAGTGGCTGGCTGAGTGGCGTCTCACAAAAGTCTTGCCTGGACTGGCCTCAGTGATCCTGTTGGCCAGGTCCTGAATAGCAGCCTACAGGCAATGAGCCACCGATAGCCAGCTGTAACCGGCCTTCATGTAGAGCTGCCAGCCATGTCCTGAAATCCTGAACTGTCAAAGGCAGCAAGGAAGTCAAATGCAGAGTCAGACTGCTTTACAGAGCAGCCTGGGCTGTCCCAGTGCCGACAAGCCACGGCTGGGGGCTGGGGCTGGGGTTGGGGCCTGGGGCTGGGGCATGGGGTACAGAGTGGCCTCTGTGGCCGGTGGACCTGAGTTACATCATGGGGACCCAGAGGATGGGCCTGGCTGCTGTCCAACTTGGGGACTTATTTATCAACAAGAATATCCGTTGTGACTTGAGACGCTCCAATAACCAATAATACATAAACGTGACTGCTCTTGGTCCCCAAAGGTGGAGAAGATGTACTTTGGCCAGATTATTCAGGAGTGGAGGGACAGGGAGATTCAAAACTCCAAAGTCTGCTAGAGCCCAGAGCTTGATGCTTCACAATGGAGGCCACACGCGACCACAAAAGTCAGGCTGCAGTCAAAGCCCAGCATGCTAAAAAAAACTCTACACTATTGCTTGGCTCCAGTGGCTCACACCTGTGATCCTAGATACTCAGGAGACTGAGATCTGTGGGTTGGGGTTCAGAGCCAGCCAGGCAGCAAAGTCCATGAGACCCTTACCTCCAATTAACCAGCAAAAAGCTGAAAATGGAGCCGTGGCTCAAGAGCCTAGTCTTAAGCAAAGAAGCTCAGGGATGGTACCCAGGTCCCAGGTTTAAACCTCAGGATCAGCACACACATGCACACATGTATAAGCTGTACATGAGAAACATTAAGAAATGTCAGCCCAGCGCTGGTGGCTCACCCCTGTCATCCTAGCTACTCAGGAGGCTGAGATCTGAGGATTACGGTTCAAAGCCAGCCTGGGCAGGAAACCCCGTGAGACTTATCTCCAATAAACCACTAGAAAACCGGAAGTGGTGCTGTGGCTCAAGCGCTTGAAAACTCGCCTTGAGCTGAAGAGCGCAGGGACAGCGCCCAGGCCCAGAGTTCAAGCCCCATGACCGACCAAAAAAAAAAAAAAAAAAAAGTTAAATCAACTTCACAAAATTGATTTAGTCCAAAGTGATGTGCAGATACTCCACAGAGTTTTATTTTATGTCCTTTGAAAGTATTATGAACAGTATAAATGGAATGTTTCAATTGGGCTATTATTTTAATAATGCTAACCTTTTTCTTACTTTCTGATTCACTTTATACAAACATACAACAGAGCCGGGCGCTGGTGGCTCACGCCTGTAATCCTAGCTACTCAGGAGGCTGAGATCTGAGGATCGCGGTTCAAAGCCAGCCCGGGCAGGAGAGACCGTGAGACTCCTAGCTCCAATAAACCACCAGAAAACCGGAAGTGGCGCTGTAGCTCAAGTGGTAGAGCGCTCGCCTTGAGCTGAAGAGCTGAGGGACAGCGCCCAAGCCCAGAGTTCAAGCCCCACGACCGACCAAAAAAAAAAAAAAAATACTGGCCTCCAAGGCTGGGAACGTGGCTTAGTGGTAGAGTGCTTGCCTAGCATGCATGAAGCCCTGGGTCCAATTCCTCAGTACCACAGACACAGAAAAGGTCTGAAGTGGTGCTGTGGACAGAGCTGCTAGCCCCGAGTAAAAGAAGCTCAGGGACAGTGCCAGGCCCTGAGTTCAAGCCCCAGGACTGGCAAAAAATTAAAATTAAATTAAAAATACTGGTCTCCAGTCAAACACTGGTGGCTCACACCTGTAATCCTAGCTGTTCAAGAGGCTGAGATCTGAGGATGGTGGTTAGAGCCAGCCAGAATAGAAAAGTCTGAGATTTTTTTCTTGTCGGTTGTGGGGCTTGAACTCAGGGCATGGACACTGTCCCTGAGCTCTTCTCCTCAAGGTTAGCGCTCTATCTACCACTGTTCGTCCATAGCTCCACTTCTGGTTTTCGGTAGTTCATTGGAGAAAAGAGTCTCATGGACTTTCCTGCCAGGGCAGGCTTTGAACTTGCAATCCTCAGACTTCAGCCTCCTGAGTAGCTAGGATTACAGGCGTGAGCCACCAGTGCCAGCTCACGAGACTCTCATCTCCAGTTAATCACCACAAAACTGGGAAGTGGTAGAGTACTAGTCTTCAGCAAAAGAGCTCGGGACAGTGCCCAGGCCCTGAGTTCAAGCCCTACAACTGACCAAATTTATCAAGTTATTTATCTAATTTATCAGATTTATCTAATTATCAGGCGTCTACTCTTGAACTATGATAATAGGCTTTTTCAAATATCAATTTGACTCAAAGATTAAAGTACTTTAAAATGTCAAATATAGGGGCTGGGAAGGTGGCTCAGTGGTAGAGCACTTGCCTTGCATGCATGAGGTCCTGGGTTCGATTCCTCAGCACCACATAAGCAAAAAAAGAAAAAAGCCGGAAGTGGCACCATGGCTCAAGTGATAGAGCGCTAACCTTGAGCTGAGGGACAGCACCCAGGCCGAGTTCAGGTCCCACAACCAGCAAAAAAAAAAAAGAAAAGAAAAGAAAGTAAAATGTCAAATGTAGACTTGGCTCCTTTGCCCAAGGTATCTTATTATGTATGGCTAAATACTCCAAAGTCAGAAAATTGATGCTTTCTGAAACCGCAGGAAGAAGTCCACCTGCCGGCCTCCCCACAGCTGCCTGGCCCCAGGCTGGGGGGGGGGCCCTCAGGGCTCCGGAGCCCATAGAGAAACTGGCTGGCCCACATGCTCCCTGGAAGAGAAAGGGGGGGCCCCTAGGTGGGAACAGGGAAGTAGGGTGTATCACTACTGAGCATGAGCTTTTCACTTCTCTAGCAGCTGATGTCTGTCTGTCTGAAAATGCAGCAAAAAAAGAAGAAAGAGATATCCCATCTTTATACATAATTGCTCAGACCAGCTCATTTACCTAGGAATTTCCCCTGCAAATTAACCCAAACATTATTCCATGAGCAGACCCTGTAAAATTCTTAGATTAAGAACTAGTCTTACAACTTTGGTGGGGAGGAGGGGGCGGGGAGGAGGAGGATTGGGGGGGGCGGGGGAAGGATGGGAAGGATGGACAAAGGAGGCTACAAAGCTTGATAAGAAATGCACTCATTATCTTGCCCATGTAATTGTAACCCTTCTGTACAGTATTTTCTCAAAAAGGAAAGAAAGAAAGAAAGGAAGGAAGAAAGAAAGAGTGAGTCATGGATGGGCTGGGGATGTGGCCTAGAGCCCTGTTTGATTCCTCAGCACCACATACACAGAAAAAGCCAGAAGTGGCGCTGTGGTTCAAGTGGTAGAGCACCAGCCTTGAGCACAGACAGACTCAGGGATAGTGCCCAGGTCCTGAATTCAAACCCAGGACTGGCAAAAAAAAGAAAAAGAAAAAGAGAAATAGTCATGGTCCCTCAGGGCTGGAGACGAGAGGGAGTGGGGGAATTACTGGCCTGCACTCTGTGGGACCGGCTGGGCCTGCACTGGAGCAGCCACGGGGCGTCCATGGGCTACTGTGCGGGGAGAACACAGCCCACTTCCTTGGTGCACTGCTCTGTTGAGAGCGCTTGCTTTACTTTCAAAAGAAAGTAAAACAAAGTTGCCAGCGATGAGGACTATGTTTTGAGGCCAGTCAGGGCCTCTGAACAACAAGCTAAAGGTGATGGTGTGTATACATCACCCCGGGGCATGGGAGTGTAGCACAGTATAAAGATGGTGGTCTGAGGCCAGTTCTGGTCTCATCACCAGACCCTGTCTGTTGCTGGGGTGTGGGCAGTAACGTGCCGTCCAGCAAGCATAAGCCCTGCGATCAAAGCTCAGTACTGTGCTTCTCACCCCCACAAAGGAAAACATTGCACAACTGTAATCTCAGAATTTAGAAAGCAAAGGCAGAAGGATGATCAAAAGTTGGAGACAAGTCTGGCCCTACAGAGTAAGGTCTTGTCTCTGTCACACACATGCACACAGAAATGTGAGTGTGTGCACCCACACTGCAAAATGGGTTTCTGATGTAGTCCGGGGAGGTGAAGTCAGAGTACGGTTTGATGCAGACCCTGGCGTCAGTGCTTTAGGAAGGAGGGAAGATGCTACGAGGAGCCTGCCACAAATGCAGGAAAGGGCTCGGCACAGAGGCTCTCACTCCACACCGGGGCCAGGAGGGCAGCTCAGGTCAGGAGATGCTGCCTGCCACCCTACAGACCTGGAGCTAGACACATGGGCCACCAGCTCAACAGAACAGCGCTGGATCTGCAGCACATGGGTAACCCCTGCCTTAGGTGCGCTGTGAAGGGACCTGTAGTAGCCTGTGGGAAACCTGCATGCACTCAGGACCAGGTCCCGGACGACTGTGGCCCAGGTTTCCTGCCCAGCGACCACAATCCCAAGAGGCTCTGGCTCAGGCCCCAAGAGACGGAGGCCACCGCCGGCCTCATCCTTTACCTCAGCAATAAAACCCTGTACTGCTCAGGAAAACACGTGGAAACACAATCAGACACATGAAAGTCTACTCGAGCTCCTCAGAAATTCTCATCTTCATCCGGGTGCTGGTGGCTCACACCTGTCATCCTAGCTATTCAGGAGGCTGAGGTCTGAGGATTCTGGTTCGAAGCCTGCCCGGACAGACAAACCTAGGGGTCTTACCACCAATCAACTAGCAAGAAGCCAGAAGTGGAGCTTCTTCTCAGGGCCTCATCATGCTCATTCTACCACCTTGGGACACGGCGCCACCTCTGGAGACGGTGGGCTCCCAACGTAAACTGCCCACACCACGTTTTGTATGCCACGTTTTGTATGCCAGCCAAATGAAGATGTCTTGAAAACAGGGTACAGACAACTCTGGTACACAGTTTGAAATGTGCCTTTGCAAAACATCAAGGCTTCTGTATTTCATGAAGCAGATGAGGAAGGCAAACAAACAGAGAAGAAAAGAAGGCCCAGTGTTCACGTGTCCTGCATTAGATGCACGGAGTGGGCTGCACCGTCCCCCATACACCACACCTCCACACCAGAGACGTAGCTGCGAGGCAGGGCTCCACAGGCCGCAGCACAGCCGCCTCCTCTCACTCGGCTTGCTTCCAAACCTCACCTGAGTTAGCAAAGCCAACAGCCTCATCACTAGACACTGAGCAGCATCTGCAAGACCCAGAAGCACTGACTCACCTGCCAGCCCTTGTCCGCCGTCCTGTAGTAGGGGTAGTTCTTAGTGATGTGTGTATAGATTCCATTGAGAGTGAGCTGTTTATCAGGAGCCATGGTAATTGCTTGGACTATCAACTGTGCATAGGAGTAAGGTGGCTTTGAATCATCCTGTATTAAAAAAAATAGTTAGCATAGTCATATGTTTTATATATTCTCTAAAAATGTGTTTTATTACAACGTAATATAATTTTGAAAACTTAGAAGAAGGGGGGGAAAAGATAAAAAGAAAGATGGAGGGATGAAGGGTGAATAACTTTAAAATAGTGTAATTTTTTTTAATAAAACGCCATTAGAGATTACGTAAGAAAACCCAAACAGCCAAACAGTACGACGTGAACCGTGGCCTAGCTCCACAGCACCGCAACTCCTGTGCCGGCCCCAGACAGAGCACCGGTCACTGTGCTCAAGTGCCAAGGTTTTGCCTCCTTCTTTTCCAACACATTTCTTAAAAGATTTGACACAGGCTGGGCACTGGGGGCTCACGCCAGTCATCCTAGCTACTCAGAGGAAGCTGAGATCTGAGGATTGCAGTTCAAAACCAGCCCAGGCAGGAAAGTCTGTACAACTCTCTCTCTCTCTTTTTTTTTTGGCCAGTCATGGGGCCTGAACTCTGGGCCTGGGCGCTGTCCCTCAGCTCTTCAGCTCAAGTACTCTTCCCTTGGAGCCACAGTGCCACTTCTGGCTTTTTCTGCTTATGTGGTGCTCAGGAATCGAACCTCATGCATTCAAGGCAAGCACTCTACCACTGAGCCACCTTCCCAGCCCTGTACAACTCTTATCTCCAATAAACTACCAGAAAACTGCAAGTGGAGCTGTGGCTCAAGTGGTATTCTCCTTAAGCTGAAGAGCTGAGGGACAGTGCCCAGGCCCAGAGTTCAAGTCCCATGGCCGAGGGGGGGAAAAAAAAAATCGACACAGGGCAGGGTGCTGTTGGCTCATACCTGTGTTACTCGGGAGGCTGAGATTTGAGGATCACAATTCAAAGCCAGTCTGGGTAGGAAACTCCACAAGACTCTCATCTCCAATAAACTACTTGGGAAAAGCCAGAAGTGGCATTGTGGTTAAGTGGTAGAGCGCTAGCCTTAAGCACAAGAGGCTCAGGGACAGCGCCCAGCCCTGAGTTTAAACCCCAGAACCATTAAAAAAAAAAAAGTTGAGCATGATGACTTAGGCCTATCATCTCAGCTGTGTGGAAAGCATAAATAGGAGGTTCTCAGTCTAGGGCAATCCAGGAAAAATGAGACTAACCCGAAGGGGGCGGGAGAGAACACACGTGCAGCGCGGGAGAGTGACACTGACCCGAAGGAAAGGCACTCGTTACCTCACTTGTAACTGCAGCCCTCCACATCTCACCTTCAGCACTTACGAGAAGGGGGCGCAGGAGAGAGAGAGAGAGAGAGAGAGCACCTGACCGCAAGCACAATGTTAAGTTCAAATCTCAGCACCACTAAAAGCTGAAGTCAAAAAAGAATGGATTTACAAAATCCCAACAAGAATTCCCCAGCAAATCCACCAGGAGGCCACGCACTGATACAGAAGGATGCGACCCTTTCCAAGGCTCTGGCTCACCCTCACACACCCACACATGTGCGTGCACACACACACATGCACGCACACACATGCACCCCCGCACACACATGCACCCCCACACACACCCACACCCACCACGGCCACTGAAGACGACAGAACATTTACCTTTGGACTGTCTCCACCTGAAGCTTCCTTTTCATTTTCTGGCTGTGAGCTGTCAGCTATTAAATTGAGGTCAGATGGTATCACACGCCCCATTTTGTACCCTGAAGACCCTGCTCCCCGGGGGCTGGATGGGCAGGAGTTCGCAGCACTGGGGAAGAAGAAAAGGTCACTCCTTTAGCCTACTGTAAAACATACATTGTACTATGACTTTTTTTTATTTTGGGTACCAGTCCTGAGGCTTGAACTCAGGGCCTAGAGTGCTGTCACTGAGTTTTGTTGTTCAAATCTGGTGCTTAAGCCACAGCTCCACTTACAGCTTTTGTGTAGTGAACTGAAGAGTTCAAGCCCCATGATGGACCAAAAAAAAAAAGTAAACCCAGGCGCTGATGGCTCACATCTGAATCCTAGCTTCTCAGGAGGCTGAGTTCTGAGGATTGAGGTTCAAAGCCAGCTTGGGCAGTTAAGACCATGAGACTCTTATTTCGAATAAACTCAGAAAAGGCTGGAAGTGGCACTGAGGCTCAAGTGCTACGTAGAGTGCAAGCCTTGAGCACAAAGAGGCTAATGGACAGTGTCTAGGCCCTGAGTTAAAGCCCCAGGACAGGGAAAAAAAGAAAGGAGGAGGAGGAGGAAGAGAAGAAAGAGAAGGAGAAGGAGGAAAAGCAGAAGCGGAAGAAGGAAGGAAGGAAGGAAGGAAGGAAGGAAGGAAGGAAGGAAGGAAGAAAGAAAGAAAGAAAGAAAGAAAGAAAGAAAGAAAGAAAGAAAGAAAGAAAGAAAGGAGGAGGAAGAAGAGTAAAAGCTATAGGGCTGTGAGTTCAGAACTTGTCTGCCAAGTGTGAGGCCCTGGGTTCCATACCTGGTATAACCAAGAATTCCTCATACATTACCGACATAGCCACTTATCAGGAACCCCCAGCCCCCACAGCTGGTTGCCTTTTGACTGTTTCCATTGCCTCGTTTTAATGTGCACAAAATTTAATCAGCCTTTTTTCTTTTCTTGTTTGATGGCTTGGTGCCAACCCAAGAAATCACTGTCAAGTCAATGTATGAAGCTTCTGCCTGTGTCTATTCTAAGTTTTGGGTGTTCCAAGTAGGTTATGGTGCATTTGAACTATAGGAGACAAGAACCACCTTCATACCCTCTTGCACAAGATTGACCTATGTTCCCAGCAAGGCCTACTTAAAACAGGGTCCTTCCCCCACTGAACGATCCTGACATCACGTCTGAAGCCACTTGTTCATCATATAAGAGGGCTACTTCTGGGCTCTATTATATCCCATCGGCCACCGCCATGCTTACTCTTGCTTTCTAGTAAATTCTGGAATCCAACTTTGAGGTTTTTACACAGAGGCAACATATTTCAACAGAACTCACTTTCCACCATTCTCTTTTCTTCTTCCCCTGCCTCTTTCCTCCAAACAGTCCAAATTAGAATCAAGGTCCATGAGTGTGTGTGCGCGCCCACGAGTGCACACATAGGTGTATTTTGCGTCTTTATGAAGGCTAGGTTCTGCAAATGAGTGAAAACATGTTGGACTTGGCTCTGTGAGCTTGGCTTATGTCACTCAATATAATGACCCACAGGTTTATCCACTCTCCTGAAAATGGCACGATTTCATCCTTCTCTATGGCTAAGCAATATTCCATGGTTTACAAGTACCACATGTTCCTTATCCACTCATTGGCTGCTGGGCATCTCGGCTGATCCCACTGCGTGGCACAGGGAACACTGTTATGCAGCAGTGCCTCTTGGATGCTGGTTTAGACTCCTCCGGAAGAATGTCTGGTGGTGGAGTCCTCAGGCAGGTCCGGTTCTTCCGGTTGGGGAACCGCTACACCAGCGTCCAGTGCCTGTACCAGTTTACACCTTTCCCTTCACATCCTCACCAGCATCTGCCGACGTTCTTGGAGATCATGGTTCTGGGTGAGGCCAGGTGAGGCAGACTCGTGGTGAGCTCTGCCTGGTTCGCTTGCTGCTCTCCGTAGAGTTCTGGCCTCTCTCCGCCTTTTCTGCGGTTGAGATTGTCTTCTCTTTCTCTCTCCAGCATCCAAGCCCTTCTCTGCGGCATCATCTTCTCAGCCATGGGGTAAGAAGGCAGCTGTCTTTAATCTACCACCTTTCCCTAGTTCTCAAGCTTTGTTTCTGGACCTTCTGAGACGGGATCTCACTACACAGCCCAGGCTGGCTGTGCACACAATCCTGACCCTGCTTCCTAAGTGCTAAGGTTACAGGTGTGCACCCACCAAAGCTGTTCTGACTACTGGGAGTCCATGAGACTCCAAATACACTGGAATTTTGATGGGGGTTACACTAAGTATACTGAGCGCTTTGGGGAGATTAAGTCTTCTACTTCAAGACAGGACGAGGTGGAGGAGTGTTTGCTTATGTCTTCTCCAATTTTTTGTTTGTTTTGTTGGTTGTGGGGCTTAAACTCTGGGCCTGGGCACTGTCCCTCAGCCCTTCAGCTTGAGCCACAGCGCCACTTCCAGCTTCTCCATCCCCCCCCCCGCCCCCGCAATTGTCTGTTCTTCCTTTCTTTTGGTCCTGGGATGGGGCCAAACCTAGAGCCTTGTATATGCTAAGCAAGTGTTCTACCAAGCAGATCTTGGGTTTTTTGGAGAAGATTGTGCTAGGTAGCCCAGGATGGCTTCAATTTCCCCATCCTCTTTCTTCTGCTTTCTTGCGTGATGGAATTACAAGTATAAACTACCACGCGCAGCCTCAGAAGGCCTATTCCTCTTTGTTTTTTTTTGGTGGTGTGAAGGAGAGACAGTCTTGGGATTTGAATTCAGTGCTTTAGAGCTCCATCACTCAACTCCCATTTCTGGTGCTTTTGCTTACATGATTTTGGGAGTAGGATCTCACATTTTTGCTAGGCCACCCTGGATGTGATCCACCTACTTACATTTCCTACATAACTAGGATGACTGCTACGTTTGGCTAGTGCTTGAGCTGGCCTCAACCTTTCATCTTCCTAGGTAGCAAGGGTAGGAGCCGTTGTTCCAGCTTCAGAAGCGCTCCCAACCTCCACCTTCTTGTGCTGGTACTGAGGCTTGAACTCAGGACCTGACACTCTTCTACTTCAGCTACACTTCCTTTTCCAGCTTTTTGCTGGTTAAGTGGAGATAAGCGTTCCATGAGGGCTGGGAATATAGTTTAGTGGTAGAGTGCTTGCCTAGCATGCATAAAGTCCTAGGTTCAACTCCTCAGTAATGCATAAACAGAAAAAGCCAGAAGTGGCACTGTGGCTCAAGTGGTAGAGTGCTAGCCTTGAGCAAAAAGTAGCTCAGGGACAGCGCCCAGGCCCTGAGTTCAAGCTCCAGGACTGGCAAAAAAAAAAAAAAAAAAGTTTCATGAGCATTTCTGTCTGGGGTTGGCTTTGATCTCACACCCCCTGATTATCTAAGACTACAGTGTGACCACCAGCACCAAGCTTTGCCAAAAAAGAGCACAAGGCCCTGAGCACACATACACATACATGTACACATATAAAACACACGCATGCACACTAATACAACTCTGGACTATTTGGAGGAATGAAGGGTAAGGGAGAAAGGGCCAAAAAAATATGGGGGGGGGATAAATAATCAAAATACATAACAGGCTGGGTGCCAATGATTCATGCCTGTAATTGTAGCTACTCAGGAGGCTGAAAACTGATAATCACAGTCTGACGCTAGCCTGGGCAAACAGTCTGTGAGAATTCTTTTTTTTTTTTTTTGGGTCCGGTCGTGGGGCCTGTACTCTGGGCCTGGGCGCTGTCCCTCAGCTCTTCAGCTCAAGGCTAGTGGTCTACCACTTGA